CTATGGTGCAATTAATATTTGATTAATAAAAAGGTATTGGAAGAATAAGGATAGTTTTATAATCCCAACATTCACTTTTCAATGAGCTTTTTCACTAAACAATTAATTTTTTATTTCACGCGTTGACATGTGTTAATTAGTAAGGTAAAAATCACTCTTCTAAATAAAATTATCTCGAATTGCGCTAAAGATGAATGTCTTAGCTATATTTTCATCTTCCTTTTTTTTGGTTGAATTAACCACCTATAAAATAGAGGTAATGAGTGGGTGCATGTACAAAAAATAAAAAATAAGGGAGGATAAACGAAAAAAATATGAAAGAGAAGATGATATTATAAAAATCTAGAAAATAAAATATTAAAGTTTTCTAATACTAGGTATGTGTTACATTACAAAAGACATAATGACACATACTTCCTCCATAACCAAAATAAATATGAAAAACAAAAATGTGACATCATTACAAAGTGGCTATGTTAGAGCATGTCCAATCCAAAAATGTGAATGATACATACGTGATATGATAGATATGACAAATAGTCAATTAAAAACAACAAACAAAATATCATTCTCTTTATTTAAACGGTCTTATATATTTTTGATAAGTTTTTCTCCATAATGTCAAACACAATGTCTAGAAGTAGATATTGTGGTTGACATTATTGATTTTTTTATTACCAAAAACAAATAATATTGTGGATATAGTATGAAAAAATATCATAAATTTTAATTTTTTGTGTATGTTTCTTTCATATCACAGGTACACCGTATACATGGTAGCATTGAAGATGCTCTTAATGACTTTTACTAATTAGTAACTGCTGTCATATTTTTGTCCTATAGTATTTATTTGAGTAGTGATACTTTGTTTTTACTCTAATTAAGAACTATTATTTTCCTGTCAAAAAAGCTAATTATGGTATTTTAAAAAGCTACTTATGGTATTTGTTCTGTCATCATATTAATGCCCGATGATACTATCAAACTATGACACTTTGATTGCATGGGAAAATTTTGTGCTTCTATTTTAACTAGTTTTTCTACGCGCGTTGCGCGATAGCTAAATGCCCAATGTGATTCTTTACACAAATTGTTTGTTATAAATTTGTAAGAGACTATGGGTATGTTTGGGTAGCAGCGGATTTACCTCCAAACCGCTGTTTTTGTCAAAGCAAAACGCTACATTTTGTAGCAGATTGGTTCCAACCCGCTGAAATACAAACAGGGCCTATAGTCTAAATTCATTGCAATTTACCTTACTTAACTGTTTCCATCCCATTTCACACGCTGTAAAAGAAAAATAAAAGCAGGATTGAAAATATACAATAGTACATTTTTACACCAGATGCCCTTATATTCACACCAGATGCTATTTGAATAATTATAAACAATTATAACAGCATGAGTTGGTGAAATTATATGGCCAAATAATAAAGGTTATGGCCAATGTCATATGGCCAAATCCTAACAGCATATGGCCAAATCGATGTGGCCAATAATTATAAATCTAATTTAGTTGGTGAAATTACAACACCAGATGCTATTTGAATAACGAGAGTTTGCTACTCTAAGTTTCATATTTTTCCCTTAGTGCTACTTTTTATAAAATTATTCACACTAAAATAAAAAAATAGGAGGTGGTCAGATAGTTATGACCATAAATGAAGTGTCTCGTTCTCACACGAAGTATCTGATGCAATCATTCGTCTTTAATAAAATTGTAAAATCTTTATAGGATGAAACATGTATGGAACACGCTAAAGTACAAATTTCGGATGTGCCCAATGTTTTTTTAAGGAAGCAAAACATAAAACATTCAAATTTATACCAACATTCAAAGTTGGGCAACAGCTATACTAAAGGTATACCTTATTAACAAAACACATGCTAAGGAGATATTGAACTTTTTAGTATTCTGTATTTTTGTTATATTTCCATGTTTTTACTACTGATATATTGTTTAATATTATACATGCAAAAACAGAATACAAAAACACAGAAGTCCTCTATTCTCTTTTTAATATTATAGGCTTCTGTCTCAGTCTTTTAAAAGTTCTCCATATCTTCATTGGTATATCATTGATAATCCTAATGAGGAAACATGGTTCATCTTTGAGGGGCTATCTCTAGCTCCAATTCTTTGTTATCCTCATAGATCTCTAATTGTTGTTTCTTATCGGCTATCTCTAATTCCTTCTTAGAAGGATGGAATCGATATTTCTACTCTTGGTCTCTACTTGATTAATATTCTTCCAGTGATCTTATGATTTTGATTCCAATTGGAATTAGAGCAGACAAATCTGAGACTTCAATAGGATTTGTATCAATCCATTCATTATAATAATTAAACTAATACTCACATAATTGCCTAAACAAATACTCCATATGACCATAAAGTAAAAATAAGCCACCGACTCACAATTTTCTCAGGCTTCACTTCGTCCCAGACTTCATTTTCTCAGGCTTCCCTTCGTCCTAGATTTCATTTTCTCAAGCTTCCCTTTGTCCCAGACTTCATTTTCTCATATATTGGACTTTTTAGTATTCTGTATTTTTGTGTAAACATCATTTTACAGTATTTTACACATTTTACACCATTTTTTACACTAAAATGGTCTCAACATCACATCAAACAGTATTTTATCTCCAACAGTTTACACCATTTTCATCACCAAAAAAGAATATTCTCTTTTTATTCTTTTTACTAACTTTTTACCATTTTTCTATTTAAGAATCTAATTATCATATATTTATACATTAGCCCCTCATTTAATATTTTGACATTTCACACATTATTTCACACATACAAACTAAAATACACCATTTTAATATGTATTTTCACGCATTTCACTAATTAAAATACAATAATCAATATTTCACTAATTATAATGGTGTTATTAATTGTAATTTTAACTATGTTATTTTCTCAAGTATCATTTGTATTCTGTTACTATGTTGTTTCGATTTGAAACTTTATTTATAATATTGTGCGATTTAAATTTTATTATATTTTTGTTATTTTCTATCAAATTAATAATTTTAATTTGTTGTTCTATATAGATGTTTTTACTTGGACTGTAATTTGTCTCAGATCAGATCAGACCGGATTAGACCAGACTTGAATAGTTATAAAAATACAAAGAAATCAGACCAGACCAAATCAGTTCAGAACAAACCAGACCAAATCCGACCAGATCAGACCAACAAATTTTAGTCCAAGTAAAAACATCCTAATTTGTTGTTTTAAAAATGGGTCAAAACTATAATAATCAAAACTTTGGGTCACATTTGAAATAAAAAAAATAGAAAAAGAAGATGGTGTTGGATTTGGTGTACGCCATATATGGCGTAAAGCCAAAGGCACTCCACCAAAATGGTGAAATGGTGTTGAAGATGGTGTGGCTATTGGAGCAATTTTTTTACAAATGCACCATTTTGGTGTAAAAGTTGGTGCTTGTTGGAGATGCCCTCAGGCTTCTCTTCGTCCCAAACCTCAATTTCTTAGGCTTCCCTTCGTCCCAAACTCTTCCAGAAAGAGCAATCCAACAAGACACTGGCTGGCAGCGGCAACAGAACTTCAAAGCACCCATCTAACCGGTTTCCCCACTTCGATTTTTGGGAAAAGCGAATTGAAATACTTAACAACCTAACGAGGGGGGCAGATCAGAGGAAGAAGACGGGTTTTCCGCAGGCAGAAAGGGAAAAAATCTTCAGGGGCGCTGATAGAAAAAATATGTACCTTGACTATACCGGCGAAGGGCTCTGAATATATTTATACCATAAAACCCAGACAAGGCTTCCCCTTCAACACCACCAGGGATCAATTCCTGACTATCAATTGGATGAATGGTGAATAACAAGGATAAAGCACCAAATGAAGAATTAGATCACACTCTTGAATTACAGTCACATAAGGAGAGGATAATTAACCTGTTGAGGAAAAATATTAATTGTGATCAAGCTTGTCTGATGTCTTGATTATTTATCTAGAATAGATTAATGTTTTAATGTATTTATGATGAAATAAATCCAACTAAGGGTTTAAGGCCCAAAAAGGCCTAGGCCCAGAATTCTAGGTTACCATTCTCGGTACCTGTACCTGCGCCTATAAATACGCGTACTTGTGGTACAGGACCGAGAACAATCATCAATACAGTACTATTTTCATACTTCTCGATAGTATAGCGTAAGGCTCTATTGCTCTCAGATTAATCATATCATTATCTAGACCTTACCTATATTGTCATAGATCGTATTCTGCTGTTCAATACATCCTTATTTTGGGACCAACAATTGGTATCAGAGCCGATCGAGTACTGATCTGCATCGAAGAAAAACTGCGAAGAATGCTCTGTTTTATGTTTTCGATATTTTATTGAATCTGTCTGTGTAAATCTGTTTTTGGACAATTCTGTGTAAAAGTTATACTGTTGGATTCGTCTTTCAAAAACAAACCAGTAGTATATCTTCATTTTCGATACCTGTAATTTTCACTTTTGGAAGTTCTCGGTATTGCTATATCGAGAAGCATGTTCTCGATACTTTAAGCAGGTTTTTCGAAGTTTGATCAAAACAGGAAGCTTCTCGACATCGAAAACAACTCAGCAGCAGTCTTCATTTTTAAAATTCTGAAATTTTTTAAGTACAGGATTTCGATAGGATGATCTCGATATTGAACTCGAAAACTTAGTTTTCGATACTAGCTTCTCGTATTAGTATTTTTCGATATTTATCCTTCGAATTACTTGTTTTTCGATATTGCAGGTTCTCGACATCGGTTCTCGACACTCAAATCTCGAAAAGACAGTTCTCGAACTGAACTTCTCGAAGTTTGACTTCTCGACAATCGGCTTCTCGAAATCAATATATCGGAAACATTCTTTTCGAAGTTTTGATATCGAAACTCACTTCTCGATAATCTTTCTCGAACTCTTAGTTCTCGAACATTCTTTTCGAAGTTTTCACTTCTCGATAATCTATACTTAGATTTTTTTTGTGACAGATCAATCACTCGAACGGTCATTGTTTAAGAATAGCAGAAATGGACGCTCTTTCAATAGGAAATGATAATAGACCCCCGATCTTGCGGAGAGATGAGTACGTAATGTGGAAGAACAGGTTTCTCAATTTTCTCGAAAGCAAAGACAACTCTTCAGCCATGCTTGAATCACTGACGGAGGGACCAGCTCAGATTTGGATGATACTTAGAGGTGACAATGATAATGAGCCCCCCGTTGAACCAGTAAGGATACCTAAAGCTGTCGAAGAGTATACTGAAGAAGATAGATTGAGAGTCAAGGCTGATCTGATGGCAAAAACGTATCTGCTCCAAGCAATTCCAAACGACATCTATATCCTGATAGATAGTATGGATTCTGCAAAGGAGATGTGGGACGAGATTAGAAAGCTGATGGAAGGAACCAATCTGGGTCTGAAAACCAAGAAAGCAAGTACTCTAACTGCATATGACTCTTTCAAGGCTAGACCTGGTGAACCACTGCATGAGACTTACAACAGATTTGGCAAGCTTGTGAATGACTTGCGAAAGATTAATGTGAACAAAGCCAACATGGAGCTGAACATACGATTCCTTTCTAGTCTGAGCCCTGAATGGAAGAGAACAGTGAAGAATGTGAGACAGAGTCTAGATCTTGATGAAGTTGATCTTTACACCATTCATGATCATCTACAACAGTTTGTAAACGACACTGCAGAACCCGAAATTGCTGATCCATTTGCTCTAGTGATGGAAACTCAGACGAGGAGTACCACTAAAACGCAAAAGAAGAAGAAAGCTGTAGTGATGTCAGAAGAAGATGAAGGAAGTGATGAAGAGATAGACATGGAGTCTGAAATGGCAGAGTTGCAGAAGAAAATGGCACTCTTGACCAAACAATACAACAGAAGGTTTATTAAGAAGAACACTTCATCCAACAAGCTGAGAACCTCCTCATCCAACTACAAACCAAAGCGGTTTGAGCAGAATTCCTCAGAAGGAGTTGTTGCAGCAGAAGAACCTCCTAAATGCTTTAATTGCGGAAAGCCAGGACATCTGATCAAAGACTGTCGCCTACCAAGAAGGAGGGACTTCAATTACTACAAGCAGAAAATGCTCCTGAATAAGCAAAAGATGTTCATGGCAAAGCAAGAAGATGAAAATGCAGCACTGCTCGCTGAGAAGGACCATTGGATGGAGGATGATTCTTCAGATGAGGAAGAAGAAAACTTAGCTTTAATGGCGATAGTGGAAAAGGATGAAAGAAAGGGTGATGCTGCGATCCCCAGAGATGATGAAGGTGAAAGCTCAAACAGCATTGTAAGTCCTTCTAAAAACTCATGTTCTTGCAAATGCAAAAATCATTCTTTAACTGAAAAGGACAAAACCATTAGGGAGCTCGAGGCGAGACTTGATAACAATCACAAAGTTTTACTTAAGAACTTGCATAAGAATGCCTGCCTATCCTTAAAAATTGATGAATCTACGAAAAAGGTTGAAAAACTGACCTTAGAAACTGAGAAGTTGACACTTAAGACCACAGACTTGACTCGTGAGCTGCGTGACACCAAGACAGAGCTTAATCAAACAAATGGATTGAAAAAGGTTTTGCATGATCAAAGAAGTGCTCTTTATAGGAAGATTAAGGAGCTTGAGGATCTGTTAGCTAAACGTGATCAAACTGAACAAACGATTTTCTTAAATCAGCCCAAGGATACCCGTTTCTATAACTCCAAAGAAGGACTTGGTCTATCGAATCCCTGCAACCTGAAAAAGGTTAAATGTAAACAATTATATGATGTCAACTATATGGGGTTCGGTCTGACCAAGCTCATGCATTTCACTGCGGCAAAAGAAACGGAAGAACTTGAGGCTGAGAAAAGAACAAACAGCACAAAAGCTCAAATCTCTTTTGATTATTCTGCTTTGAACAAAAGTTATGCTACAACTGAACCTGTCTTCTCTTCTGATGAATGTGTGAGTCTTTATCCTTCTGAAAAGGAAGCTGTGTCTGATCTGGAATCTTCCTCGAACTCACAGTCTGATGTAGATGAACCCTATATTCCTCCTCTAATAAAGAAATTTGAAAACTTACACATTTCTCTTGAAAATCAAAGAAAAAGTTTTGAAGAAGAGAGGAAGAGTTTTGAGAGTGAGCGTGACAGACTGTTAAATGAACTTACTCTTTTAAAAGAACAATCCCAGTCCAACACAGCTTCCCAATCTACAAGTAGTACTGACTCAACCATTGATCATAACAACAAAATTAAGAACATTTTTGAAAGTCCACCTACTCACTCCAAGTCTCCTTCGGTTACAGGAACCAAAGTGAGTCGGAGATGGGAGAAGAGAGAGGAGTGGAAGTCAAGAAGAAGAGAGATTGCTGAAGGAAAGAAGAAAGTGTTTTTGAAAAATAAAAATTCTAGTTCAAGTGCGATGTTCTATTCCAAAAATAATTGTAGCTCTGGCTCTGTTAAGCAGTCTAGTAGTCAAAGTTCAGTCTTGAGTCCCAAGCTGAATGTTTCTAGATCAAATGTTGAACCCTTTGTATCTTCTGATAATGTTTATGGATATGATGGTAGTTTATCAAGTTCTGATTTTGATAGTGATATGAATGATGTGAGATGGAGAAGAAACAATGAACAAAGATCACGAAAGAAATCTGAGAATGAATTTGTTGAGGGTTATTATGACTTTTTGCATTTAAAATACCCCCTCCGAATTCATTCAAAGAAACATCTGAAAAGACTCTCCAAAGAAGAAATTTTTAAGCCATATCTTAATCAACATCCATTCACTCACTATGATCATGTCTCATCTCCTCCTTCAATTAAGCAGAAATGGTTACCCAAATCTGAATCTGAAAAAGGAAAAGCTCAAACATTGACTGAAAAAGCTGTTGACCTTGGATCACAGCTCAAAGAAAAATTTAAAAAGATGTTTTTGATTAATAAGGAAGGACCCATCCTACGGTGGGTACCTAAGAAAACTTAATTGTTTTGCAGAACGGTCATGTGTGGCACTTGGATTCTGGCTGCTCAACCCACATGACCGGAATAAAACACCTGCTGAGCAACTACACTTCATGCTACGGAGGAAATGTGAGATTCGGCAACAATGCATCGTCTCCTATTCTTGGATACGGAGATGTCATCTGTCCGAGTGTCACCATAAGGGCTGTCTCCTACGTGAAAGGACTGAAGCACAATTTGTTAAGCATTGGACAGTTTTGTGATAGCGGGATGGAAGTGAAGTTCAAATCTAGACAATGTTGTGTGATAGACAGCTATGGTGACACATTATTAACATGTAACAGGATATCAAACCTGTACACTATTGATCTGAAAAGTGTTCAATCAACTTCTTCCATCTGCCTGTTGTCCAAAGCTTCCTCTGAGCAGAACAGCCTGTGGCACAGACGGCTATCTCATCTGAACTTCAAACAACTGATCTTTCTGTCCAAGAAGAAACTTGTGAAAGGGCTGCCTACTCTGAAGACTTCCGCTGACAACCACTGTGGTGCCTGCAAATTAGGCAAAATGGCAAGGAGCTCTCACAAGTCAAAACAAATTCCATCCTCCTCTCAAGCATTACAACTGATACACATGGATCTGTGTGGACCAATGAGAGTACAAAGTATCAATGGACGAAAATACACTTTAGTCATTGTGGATGATTACTCTCGATACACATGGACCAAATTCTTGAGGACAAAAGATGAAGCAACAAAAATCATCATAACCTTCATCAGGACAATTCAAAATTTCCTTCAGAAGAGTGTTCAAGTGGTGAGAACAGATAATGGAACCGAGTTCAAAAATCAGTGCCTTACTGATTTCTTTGAATCTCAGGGTATTACTCAACAGTTTTCTGCGGCAAAAACTCCTCAACAGAACGGAGTAGTTGAAAGAAAGAACAGAACTCTTGTTGAAGCAGCACGCACTATGCTCATACAATCCAAACTTCCTCACTTCATGTGGGCAGAAGCCATCAATACTGCGTGCTTCACTCAAAATCGAACCACTATTCACAGGCGCTTCAACAAGACCCCCTATGAAATTCTTTTCAACAGAACTCCTGACATATCATTTTTCAGAGTTTTTGGCTGCAAGTGCTTTGTTCTGAATGATAGAAGTGAAAGAAGCAAGCTCGATCCAAAGGCCAAAGAAGGTGTGTTTATTGGCTACTCAACGCAATCCAAAGCTTATAGAATCTACTTGAGGGATCGACGAACTGTCATAGAGAGTGTACATGTTGCATTTTATGAAATGGCAGATTTTGCATCTGAACACTTCTTGACAGAACCCACTCTTTCTGAACATCAAAATTCTGATGGAGCTGAAGCAACTGAGCAAACATCTACTGAACGTGCGATTCTTGATTCTCTTTTTGAACACTTCTATGAGAATCCACGTAACACAAATCCACAGCAAAGGATTGCACCAACAACAGAACCTACAGCAAAGATGCCATTTTTGCTTGATCTTACTGAAAATGAGGAAGATGCTTTCTCTCAATCCGATCATGAAGATCCAGAAGATCATCACACAGAAGCAACACAAGCAACAGCATCAACACAAATCTCACCAGAAACACAAACAACAACTCCTGCTGAACCAGTGCACTCTACACCTCAACAAACAACATCTAATATCTTTGAGGACCCAGATCACCCCATCATAACTCCAATCCCTCTAACACATGAGCGGAAGTGGACGAAGGCACATCCTGTTGAACAAATAATTGGAGATCCGTGTCGTGGAGTATGCACCAGAACTGCAACAGCCAATGAATGTCTCTTCTCCTGCTTTATCAGTCAGTCTGAACCAACGAAAGTTGCTGACGCATTGACTGATCCTGATTGGGTGATTGCTATGCAAGATGAGCTCAATCAATTCAGCAGAATGAACGTATGGACACTTGTGCCTAAACCACAGAAGAAAACCATTATTGGCACAAAGTGGGTATTCAAAAACAAGCAAGATAAAGATGGAATCATTGTGAGGAACAAGGCAAGGTTGGTTGCCAAGGGATACAATCAACAAGAGGGCATAGACTACGATGAGACTTTTGCACCCGTAGCAAGAATTGAAGCTATCCGCCTCTTTCTTGCTTACGCAGCACACAAGAACTTCACAGTCTACCAAATGGATGTGAAGACGGCTTTTCTGAATGGTATTCTTGCTGAAGATGTCTATGTCGCTCAGCCTGAAGGATTTATAGATCCAAGATTTCCTGATCATGTGTATAAACTGAATAAAGCACTGTACGGATTGAAGCAAGCACCGAGAGCCTGGTATGATGCCTTGACAGATTTCTTAACAGAATCAGGCTTCTCAAAAGGAAGGATTGATACAACACTGTTCATCAAGCGTCAAGAGAATGATATTCTTTTAATTCAAATCTACGTTGATGATATCATCTTTGCCTCCTCCAATCCTGAACTATGCAAACAATTTGAAGAATTGATGAGAACTAAGTTTGAAATGAGCATGATGGGAGAGTTAAATTTCTTTCTCGGTCTGCAAGTGAGACAGCTGCCGGATGGAATCTTCATCAATCAATCTAAATACATCTTGGACATGTTGAAGAGATTCAATGTTGAAAGTACTACATCCATGAAAACGCCTATGTCCCCCAACAATAAGCTTGACTCAGACCCCACAGGGAAACCAGTTGACGCTACTCATTATCGGGCTATCATTGGATCGCTGCTATATCTTACCTCAAGCAGACCTGACATTATGTTCTCAACATGTTTATGTGCGCGTTTTCAAGCTAATCCCAAAGATTCCCACCTCTCTGCTGTGAAAAGAATCTTGAGATACCTAAAAGGCACAGTCAATCTGGGTCTGTGGTATCCCAAGAACTCAGGTTTTGACCTAATTGGATATACTGATGCTGACTTTGCTGGTTGTCGGATGGATCGAAAGAGCACGTCGGGAAGTGCTCAATTCTTAGGAGAGAAGCTAGTCTGCTGGTCCTCCAAGAAGCAGAACTGTGTGTCAACTTCTACAGCCGAGGCAGAATACGTTGCGGCTGCTAGTTGTTGTTCACAAATTCTATGGATGAGGACACAACTCAGAGACTATGGCTTCCTATTCAACCATATTCCCATCTACAGTGACTCCCAAAGTGCAATCGCCATAACCAGCAACCCCGTTCATCACTCGCGCACCAAGCACATCGACCTGCGGTATCACTTCATCAAGGACCATGTGGAGAAGGGAGATGTTGATTTATACTTTGTTAGCACCGAGCTTCAACTGGCTGACATATTTACTAAGGCATTGGATGAAAAGAGATTCCAGTTCCTAGTATCTAAGTTAGGCATGTTGAACTTCGATCCTATGTAATTGTGTTATTTCCATGGTCTGAATAAAATGTGTGTGTGTGGGTGGTGTGCGTTGCATGTGTTGAGGGGGAGAAAAAGGGAGAAAAAGGGTGAAAAGGGGAGAAAAAGGGAGAAAAAGGGAGAAAAAGGGAGAAAATAAGAGAGAGAGAGGAATACTTTGAGGGGGAGAAAAAGAAGAAAATCAGAAAAAGAGTGTGTGTGTGTGTCAGAGAATCAGAAAAGAAAGAAAAAGAGTGTGTGTGTGTGTCAGAAAATCAGAAAAGAAAGAAAAAGAGTGTGTGTGTGTCAGAAAATCAGAAAAGAAAGAAAAAGAGTGTGTGTGTGTGTCAGAAAATCAGAAAAGAAAGAAAAAGAGTGTGTGTGTGTGTCAGAAAATCAGAAAAGAAAGAAAAAGAGTGTGTGTGTGTGTCAGAAAATCAGAAAAGAAAGAAAAAGAGTGTGTGTGTGTTTTTCATTTTTTCCCCATGAACAATTTGAGGGGGAGTTTTGTTCATCTTCAAGAGCACAAGTGCTTTTGGGCCCCATACATTTTAAAACAAAAGGGAAACTGGGCCCAAACCTTTGGGCCAAGGACATTTTCTCGCAAGGCCCAAACCCAATTTCTCGCATATAAAAGATGACTTCGAGAACTTCTTTTCGCATTATTCACTTTCTCGCATAAGCTTTCTCGAAGTCCAGAGTTCTCGAAGTTTAAAACATTTTCTCGCAATCTTCTCGAATCAATCTTAAGGTAGAATTCTAGGTTTTGTTATCATCAACAACATCAATAAAATGGTTTTCGCACACAATGGCAAGTTCTCGAATCCAAAACTTGAAAGAAATTTCTCGAAATGGAATATCGAGAACTATATATTTCTCGAAAACTGAAAACTTGAAAATCGAAAAGTTTTGGATATTATCTTTGTGATTATGTGTTATTGCAGGTGGTTCTCGACATTTCTTCTGAGTACGAACTCGAGAATACATCTTTCTCGATATTTGAATTCGAGGAATTGTTTCTCGATATTTCAAATCTCGTAAGTCAGTTCTCGATATTTGAACCTCGAAAAAGTCTTTTCGATGTTTAAATACCGAGAACCTACTTCTCGAAGTTTGAAATACCGAGAAGCAGTTCTCGATAGTTAAACATCGAGAAAGGAAATTCTCGAAGTTTAGATCTCGAGAAGGACTTTTCGATATTCTCACATCGAGAACCAAGTTCTCGGTGTTTGAATATCGAGAAGAGCTTCTCGGTATTTAAACCTCGAGAACCTACTTCTCGATATTCAAAACTCGAAAAGTTGGTTCTCGTGGTTTACACTCAGAAATTTTCTCGAGGTCCAACCTGTACACATCCAATCTGAAAAATTGCTAGAACAGAACAAAAATAAAACTTTTCATATGTACAATTGTGCTGACCCATTTCTTTCAGTCAATCATGTCAGGAACAGACAGGAATGCACAATCAAGCGATGAACTGTACCCAAAAGAGAACTGGGTCCCGCTTTATGACAACAACTTTCAATTGGACCTTAAGCTCTTCAAATGTCAGGACCCGGTCATTCTCTCCATTCTACAGAAGCACTACCTCTGGTTTGCATTCAATGAGGCCAAACCGGTACCAGAGGTATACCTGCAGCAATTCTGGGGCTGCATGCGAACTGAGAGTAAGAAGGATCGGTCAAAGATCATGACCAAACTAGCTGACAAGAGAGTGGTGCTAACACCTTCTACAATCAGGGAAACTCTGAGACTCCCTGTGCACCAAAACTATGCATCACTCCCCTCAAACGAAGAGTTGATCAAGGGGATGAAAGATCTTGGATACGACAGCCCACTGCCCCTGCTGTCAAACTTTACCATCTCAAATCTGCCCCACCCATGGAAGAGTCTGTTCGGCCTGGTGAACAAGTGTCTATCTCCTAAGCACGCCGGACATGACAAGTGCAACAAGCAGATTCTACAAATCTTCCATGGGATCGCATATGACAAACAGTACGACATGGCCCAGCTCTTCTGGACAGAGCTGATGGACCAGGTGAAGATAAAGGAGAACAACAAGGGTAGTACAATCCCTTACGCTAGGTGGTTGGCATTGATGATCCATAACATGATCGAGGCCACCCCTACTATTCCAAAGCGTAAGGGAGATGATCACTTCACCGCTCCCAAGCTCAAATACTTCCAGAGGGACAGCAATAAGGCTGAAGCACTGCCTATCCCGGACTCACTGCTTGATCTAGCAAACCCGAGGAATAAAGCAGTCATTGACTACAAAGAGTCGCTGAAGAGAACGGTTCCTATGGTTCAGCAAAACCCAGCTGGACCTTCCCAGGGGACCAAGCCAAGTGAGGGTAGTAAGAAGAAGAGAGCCCCGCCACAGAACCCAGTGGCAACCCGGCCTAATGATGATCAGTCTGCTAACTCTTCCGAGAGGACCCAGACTGCTGAGGGCCACCCTAATGCTGAGGACACTGCCGATGAACCATCTAGCCAGGCCCCTTCTAATAAGGCTGGTGGTGAGGCCTCCGATAGCATGGCCAAGGGAAAGAAGAGGAATGATGAAGATAATGATGATGCAGATGATGATGATGATATGGAGGGAGTCTTGATAAGCAACAGGAAGAGAGCTGGCAAACAGGCCATTCCAATAGACTCCAACTCCTCATCGGAAGATTTTGAGGCTGCATTCACACCCCGGCCACTCAAAGGGATTATCATTAGTGAGCAGCGCTCCAAGAAACGCAACGATAAGTCTGCATCATCCAAGCCTATGAAGAGGCTCAGAAAGAAGAGTGCAGTGGAAGAGGAGCTGGCACTGCACGATGACTGTGACACCTTCGTCACTATAGACCGAACCACGCCCCTAGGAGCAGGAGCTGACCTTGTCAGTTCCCAGGTAGAAGTCGCAGCATCCGGTTCAACTGCGCATGCACAGCCCTCTCCCAACCACTCTCCAGTCTCCCAACAGGCTGAAGTTTCAATAACTCAAGGGGAATTTACACCGACCTCACTGATTCCTTCCGAATCTGCTGAGAGACTTAGTGGTCAACAGCCCCGGACCACTACCCCCATCCGTTCTATCACATCGAGTCTAGGTGTCACCATTCCTACATTTTCACATTTTTCTAGGACACCTACACTATTCACTGCACATACAGGTGCACTCACCCTGAATGCAACGACCGGAGTGCAAACTATGATGGTCGGAAGCCCTGCTACGCCAACAATGCCTCGATCATTGAACGCAGGCCACACATCAGCTATCTTCACTGATGCTGTGACAACAGTTACAACCCCTGTAACTGGTACCATTATCCCCGAAGACATTCTCGTATATCTGAATAGCTTTCTAGAGTCTACCATTAAGCCATGGGTGCATGAAGCAATAACCGCTAATGCACAAGACTCTGGAAGTACCCCAGTTGTTCAGGATATACCACCCAAACCTCAAACAACACAGCCCCCAACCATTTCCATACCTATTTCCAAACCTTTAGCCATAGAAAACCAACAACCATCCACATCAAGGGGAACCCAGGATACAGAACTAGTATTCTCCCCTACAACGACCAAACCCAACCTAACAACTGTACCCTTCGAGGATCTTGTAGCTGAGATCTACGACCGTATACTAGACGTGGAAGAAGGCAACCTCACCCCTCTTCAAAAAGCCCTTCTCCATGCTCTAGATACACAGAACACATGCCGTGACAGTCTCCGTGGCACTAAACGTTCACATGAGGATCCCGATGATTCGGATTCTCATGAGGGGGAGAACAAGCGCCAACGGATACTTGAGCATGTTGCTTCTACTAGCCAACCCTCAAAGCCAAACCAACCCTCCACCTCTACCAATGAGCAACCCACTACTTCAGCTAGCCATAAATCCCTAGCCACTCTTTCTAGCATGGTCGAGCTAGACATAACATCCGGAGGTGCATCTCCTATAGATGTTAACCAAGGACGGAATGGAAGTCCTGATGATGCTACCACGAGTACATCTTCCTACTCAGGCCATCAGTTAGAACCTAGTTCGAAACTGATGTCAACGGGCAATCCTGAGGATCCCGGTGTTTCACACGACGAGTCACCTTCGACACAGCAGCAAGCTCCCCCTGAACCCTCTGACAATCCAATACAAGATGAGCTTGAAGATCTTCTAGTTCATGATCAATGGCCCCGCAAATGGACAGAGTGGGATGACCTTAGAGTGGAAGCCGATCAATACGAAATGTGTCGAAGCTGGCATCTCAGAGAGTTTCTCAATAAATACCATGCAATGATGATTGGACTCGATAAAGACGAACTCAAGGAAGGGGAGAATCAAAAAGAAAACCCCAAGGAACCAAAACCAGCTAAAGAAAAATGGGAAATTATAAGGATCAAAGCCCCCTTTCTTGAAGAAATTCGAGAGAAGATTTGGAGACAACCAGAAAAAGTCAAGCAGTTCAGTGAATTAAAAATGCGAGGAATCAATCACTTGAAAGGAAAATACAGAGGAGGAAATCTGTATATGCTAGGACATAGATCCACAGGGCAACGTCGACAAGTTCTAAATCACAATCTTGCAACAAGTGGATGTCCCATATTGAAAATCTTGGAAATCACAGAAGATTACCTAGAGACAATTAAGTTCATGATTTTTCGTCTACAACGTACTGATGGCTCGGAGTTCACCTGTCAAGAGAATGACTTCTTTCTACTGCACATGGATGATATTTATCAAATGTTCATGAGGTGCAGGGAGCTTCCAGTTCACAAAGACAGACTCGCTAAAGAAGGCTTCGATGCGATAAAAAGATTCATGACAAGACAAGTTCGGTTCTACGCCTCTCATGATCTCCAGATGACCATAGAGCACAACTATTCAAAGGTGAATCTTACTAGACCGGACTTGAGTAGACCTGGCCTTGAATTCTTTGAAGCATATCATATCTTTGATATGTTGGAAAACAATAAAAGGGGCCTAATATGTAATTAATTAAAATGTGTTTACCATCAAATAAATAATACAGTGGCTATTCATGAAATAATAAAAGTGTAGATACCAGGATAATATATTTCTTTTGGTGACGGGTCAAATTAAATATATTACACTAAAGTGATACAACGGTTATGACCCCCGGTGCGTGTAAACTAAGAGATAACAGTAAAGATATTGTAACGGAAAATGGCCTAATAAATTATTCTAAATAATATCATTATTGTAATAATAATAAAGGAGTTATTAGAATACTAAGGGCCAACCGTTACAATATTCCACTAGTCCTATATATATCCCATCAATAGGTAGGACTAAAAAAAATCAACATCTCATACGGTACATAGCACTGGAAGGTTAGGCCGATCAATCGTGTTGGATTCCGGGTCTTCTTAAAGTGTTAATGCAAATGAATTCTCAAGGTATTGTTCTAATCTTAGTTCATACATATTTGATTTCATGGATTTATATGGATTTAGCTATTATATATTTATATATATATCGCATACGGAGTTTTGTTGATATATATATGAATATCCAACAATTGGTATCAGAGACTACCACTTAGATCCATGAAATTGTTTGAATCCGCATATGAGTTCATCGTGATGTCTGGAATTCGTTATAATTTGTTGATGTCCGAATATTTTATTTTGGCTGAATCGATTCGATCATGTGCCTATGTTAAGTGATGAATTGCGTGGAATTTCATTTTATTGCCAATTCATGTTTGAATCGTTTCCGCTGTAGGCTTATGGTTTCCCACTTGCCGATTCATTTCTTAAGCTTTGATTGCATGTTTTTTCTTTAAGTCTCAAGTATAGATATTATATTACATTACTCCGTATGATTGTGATTTGAATAAAAGGTTAGCATGCATGTAAATATGGTGCTAGAAGGCTATTTTTTTTTTTCTTCTTCAAGTGGAATCTCCCTACCCACCAGCCGTTTTATTTTGGAACAATTATGCAAAGTTGTATTTAATTGATAAAATACAACATTAGGCAACGTTTCATTGATTTTAACATTTTCTTTCATTGTAATTAATGAAATAATTTTATGAGTCAAGTTAATTCCTTCAAACGTCAATTGCCGTTGTTTATGTGCCTGGATGGAACGTTTTATTTTCTAATTTGGATCAAATAATATCATGAATTAAATTGCCGTTAATCCATTGAGTTTTTTGAACGAACTGACAATTTGTCTTTTAAGTTTGATTTCATGCTATTTTTATTATCAAACTTCGTGAGCAAATTGTCGCTGTTCATGCTCAAATCCATTAGAAGCTGATTACCGCACATACTTTTTTTTATAAAAAAAAAAGTAGAAATGTGGTAAATTTTTGAAGGGAAATTGTAAAATAAAAGGAAGTTTAGTATTTGAAATGAGTATATAGAAACAATATGTCACCAAAGTGATCCTATTGTGTAAGTTGCTCATTTAAAATATTAAACATAGTATATACTTCGTATATATGTCAAGTAAATATTAATCGGCCCAAAGGAAGATTAATATTTTATCAAGTTATATATATACATTTTGGTAATAATAAATATATAACAATTATAAGGTTGCACTTTAAAAGAAAAAGTCAACCCAAAGGTGGATTTTTCTTTTATATGTATTATTGTTATATTTTATTGTTACAACAAGAGTACCACTAGCAATTAGTATTATTGTCCAAAGATGAAATACTAATGGTGCATTTGGTATCTTGTGATGGGTTAAAAATTATTTTACAATTTCACTAAAATATATGTTTATTATCTTGTTCTTTCTACAGTTAATTTTTCGAGCATATCTGCCAATCTCAACTCCATCGCTGTCCTAAATGGTACTAACTTTAAGGAATGGAAAGAAAATATTCTAATAACTTTGGGTTGCATGGATCTTGACTTAGCATTAAGGGTAGAGCAACCCGCTTCTCTTACGGATGCTAGTACCCAAGATGAAAAAAGGTACTATGAGAAGTGGGATCGCTCGAATCGCTTAAGTCTTATGATCATAAAGCGTGGAATTCCAGAATCTTTTAGGGGTGCTGTATCCGATGAGTTACTAATGCCAAGGATTTCCTTTCTGAAATTGAGAAACGTTTTGTTAAAAGCGATAAGGCGGAAATAAGCATGTTGTTAAAAGACTTTACTTCCAAAAGGTATTCAGGAAAAGCAAATATAAGGGAGTATATTATGGAAATGTCTTATATTGTTTCTAGGCTCAAGACACTTAAGATTGAGATATCGGAAGATGTTCTCGTACACATAGTCTTGAACTCTCTTCCTATTGCATTTGATTCTTGTAAGGTCAGTTATAACTGCCAAAAAGAGAAGTGGTCTCTTAATGAGCTCATTTCATATTGCGTGCAAGAGGAAGAGAGGATGAAACAAAATAAGATAGAAAGTACTCACTTGGCTAGTACCTCTAAGGATAAGGGTAAAAAGAGGAAGAAAACTCTCATTAAGAATGAAGCTGCTAAGGGTCCAGTACAGATGAAACATAAGGAAGGTGAAACAACCTGTTTCTTCTGTAAGAAGTCTGGACACGTGAAGAAGGATTGTACCAAGTATCATGCTTGGAAAGTGAAGAAAGGTACGGTCCTTGCCTTGGTTTGTACTGAAAACAATTTGGCTTCAGTGCCTAGAAATACTTGGTGGTTAGACTCCGGTTCAACATCTAACATCAGTATTTCTATGCAGGGTTGTCTGAGCCACCGCAAGCCAAATGATGCTGAAAGATGCGTCTATGTGGGAGATGGCAAAGCGGTGCATGTGGAGGCTATTGGGCATTTTAGATTGTTATTATCTACTGGTTTCTATTTGGATTTAAAAGACACTTTTATTGTTCCGTCATTTAGGCGGAATTTGGTTTCTGTTTCTTATTTGGACAAATTAGGTTATCATTGTTCCTTTGGAAACTTCCGGTTTAATTTGTCTTTAAATTCAAATACTGTGGGGACTGGTTCTTTTATGTCATATGACAATCTTTACATGCTTGAAACAATAACTTCATATAATAATGCTTTGAATGTTGACACCCGAGGCACTAAGCGAAAGGCTGATAATGCACAATCTGGGTTTTTATGGCACAAACGATTAGGTGACATCTCTAAAAATAGAGTTGAACGTCTTGTGTCCGATGGAACACTTAATCCCATTGATTTTTCTGATTTCAATACTTGTATTGAGTGCATTAAAGGGAAACAAACCAAAAATAAGAAAAAAGGTGCATATAGAGCTACAGATGTCTTAGAATTAATACACACGGATATTTGTGGGCCATTTCCTACTCCTTCATGGAATGGTCAACAATATTTTGTGTCATTCATAGACGATTACTCTAGATATGCATACTTATTTCTTATACATGAAAAATCTCAAGTCTTGGACGTGTTTAAATCTTACAAAGCGGAAGTTGAGAATCAACTCAACAAACGCATAAAGAAAGCCAAATCCGACCGTGGTGGTGAATACTATGGGAGGTATGACGGCTCAGGTGAACAACGTCCAGGGCCTTTTGCCAAATTTCTAGAGGAATATGGGATTGTCCCTCAATACACCATGCCGGGTTCACCTAGCATGAATGGTGTAGCCGAGAGACGTAATAGAACCCTTAAAGAAATGGTAAGAAGTATGATTTCTCATTCTATCTTACCGGAATCCCTCTGGGGTGAGGCATTAAAGACCACAGCTTACATTCTTAATCGAGTTCCAACTAAAGCAACTACTAAAACACCTTATGAGCTTTGGACGGGTAAAAAACCTAGTTTAAAGCATTTTCATATTTGGGGTTGTCCAGCTGAGGCAAAGCCGTATAGGCCACATGAAAAGAAACTGGAACCCAAAACAGTTAGTAGTTACTTTATTGGTTACTCGGAGCGATCTAGGGGATATAAATTTTATAATCCCAAGGATAAAAATATTTTTGAGACGGGAACTGCCATATTTTTCGAGGATGTTGAGTTTGGGGGGAAGAATAAAGTTAGGGATATTGTCTTTGAGGAAGAATTGATTTCAATACCTGAACCAATTCATACGGATGTTTCTTTTGAAACTAATGAGGAAACTCAACAAGGCATTATTTCATCATCTCCTTTCCAAACTGAAGAAATTGTTCAAAATGAACAAACTCAACTTCCTCTAGAGCAAGTGCAACAAGAAAATGTGTCATTGCGGCGATCCACTAGAGAGAGGAGATACGCAATTCCGGATGATTATGTTGTATATCTCCAAGAACATGTGTCAAGCATGGATACAGAGAACGATGTCCTTGTGTTTATTCAAGAACATGAGGAAGAAAGTGGTGTTATGGAAGATGATCCAATCAACTTCCGTCAAGCCATGAAAAGTTCAAATTCTCAAAAGTGGATTGTGGCAATGAATGAGGAGTATAAATCTATGCAAGACAATAAAGTTTGGGAACTCGTCCCATTACCCGAAGGTTGTAAACCCATTGGTTGTAAATGGATATTTAAAACCAAAAGGGATTCAAAGGGTAATGTGGAGAGATATAAAGCTCGTCTTGTAGCTAAAGGTTATACTAAAAAAGAAGGAATTGATTATAAAGAGACCTTTTCTCCGGTTTCATCAAAGGACTCTTTTAGAATCATTATGGCTTTAGTTGCACATTTTAATTTAGAGCTTCATCAGATGGATGTTAAGACGGCGTTTCTCAATGGTGACATTGATGAAACTATTTATATGGTGCAACCAGAAAATTTTGTGATTGGAGATCCAAAACAAATGGTTTGCAAATTAACAAAATCCATCCATGGGCTAAAACAGGCTTCTCGTCAATGGTATCACAAATTTCATCAAGTCATTTTATCCTTCGGTTTTAAGATGAATGATGTAGATGATTGTGTATATCATAAGTTCAGTGGGAGTAAAATATTTTTCCTGGTCTTATATGTTGATGACATTCTTCTTGCCACTAATGACATAGGCATGTTGCATGAAACCAAGAGATTTCTATCAAAACATTTTGAAATGAAAGATCTTGGTGAAGCCTCCTTTGTATTAGGAATTGAAATCCTTCGTGAGAGATCACAAGGAATCTTAAGGTTATCACAAAGGAACTATGTCGATAAGGTCCTTAAAAGATTTGGCATGGAAGATTGTAGACCGTGTGATATCCCTATCTCTAAAGGAGACAAGTTTAGTCTCGATCAGTGCCCTAAAACAAATTTGGAAATTCAAGAAATGAAAAAGATTCCCTACGCATCTGTTGTAGGAAGTCTTATGTATGCCCAAGTTTGTACGCGTCCGGATATTGCGTATATTGTTGGGATGCTAGGCAGATATCTCAGTAATCTAGGAATGGCTCATTGGGCGGCGGCCAAAAGAGTTATGAGATACTTAAAGAGGACAAGAGACTATATGCTTACATATAGAAAATCAGATCATTTGGAGGTCGTTGGATACTCCGACTCTGATTTTGCCGGTTGCAAAGACACTAGTAGATCTACTTCAGGCTATGTTTATCTACTAGCGTGTGGTGCTGTATCTTGGAAAAGTGTTAAGCAAGATATGATAGCTACCTCAACTATGGAGGCAGAGTTGTTGGCCTGTTTTGAAGCTTCAAACCATGGAATATGGATGCGCAATTTCATTGATGGGCTGAAAATATTACATGATGTTTCAAAGCCTATCAAGATATTTTGTGACAACAATTCTACGGTGCTTTACTCTAACAACAACAAGAGCTCGAGCAAGACAAAACACATTGAAGTGAAATATCGAGCTATTAAAGAAAGGGTTCAGAATAAAAGAGTCGTTATTGAACATATAAGTACAAACTCCATGTTAGCGGATCCTTTAACCAAGGGTCTCCCGCCAAAAGTTTTTCATGAGCATACTGCTCACTTGGGAGTCATTGATTTTAAGGAACCTCAAGTTTAGTGGGAGTTTATAAGTTATGTTCTATTGCTTTATGAATTTATCTTCTGATCAGAATAAAGTTTGACATTTGGTGTATTCTGAACAATTAAGATATTAAAGTTTAAAGTTTATTAAAGAAGGGTCAGTTGAAAATTTACATGTACATGCCACATTTCATGTAATTTTCATGCTACACATTTCATGATTGATCTATGTCATTATGTAATATTGATACTAGTGATCATTGGTGGTATAGTTATGTTTAACATAACAAAATGCTGCAATGGTTCTATATTAGTATTACTGATGGACCAGATTGTTTAAGGATGTTATTTTATATGATGGTATTTTTGAGCTCATAAAGATAACACATTTTGTTAAGAATTACATATAAGGCCCAGTGGGAGATTGTTGGAAAACAATAAAAGGGGCCTAATATGTAATTAATTAAAATGTGTTTACCATCAAATAAATAATACAGTGGCTATTCATGAAATAATAAAAGTGTAGATACCAGGATAATATATTTCTTTTGGTGACGGGTCAAATTAAATATATTACACTAAAGTGATACAACGGTTATGACCCCCGGTGCGTGTAAACTAAGAGATAACAGTAAAGATATTGTAACGGAAAATGGCCTAATAAATTATTCTAAATAATATCATTATTGTA